ATTTTATTTTCACATTCGTTTAATGATTTTGCTATTTTGTCGACTCTCTAGACTGGATTACTGCCTTTCACTGGCTCTTTATTTCCACAAACTGGTTCCAGTAAGGAGCTGTACAGTATGAAACATAATAACAGAGTCTGTCAGGGTCAGCGGTCAGACGTCCAGCCACTGCTGCTCCTCTTCCTCCCCACGGAAAGACCTCCTCTTCACACCGTGGTCAAAGCGGACCTCCTCGTCCCTGACCACGTCCCCTGTGGCCTGAAAGAGCAGGACGTGCCCGTCTCCTTCTGGAAGGGTCACTATGCAGTGGTGTGGCTGGACATTAAGGTTCTTTTTGGAGCGTCTGATCCATCTGCCTACGGTTTCCAGAGACAGAGACACTCACAGGGGTTATGTTCATGTTTGGATGGATTTACTGTGCTCAGACACATGTACATACCTTTTCCTTTCTGTCCTCCCAAAAAGACCTGACCATTTCTGCCTGGTCAGTCCCCTGACGATGGCCGGGTCACTTTGTGCCTGTGCTCTGCTGAGGGCCTCCACTTTGCCACTACGTCCTCTGGACGGGGAGGATTGGCCTGTTTTTAGGATCTGGGTCCGGGTAGATGGAGTCAGGACGGATCCAGGTGTAGTACGCATCCAGCATCTGCAGACAAACAAAACAGATGTGTTAGTGTGTGCTGGTTCCTGCAGGTGTTCCTGTGTTTGATGGGGAGGCGGGTTAGCTTGTACTAAGTGGACTTACTGCAGCCTCCTCCATGCTGAGGGCAAACAGCCGTCTGCATTGTGGCAGTCTGGTGGTGGCTGACACACACACACCTTCCCCCAGCAGCTTTTCTCTTCTGACACTCTGAGAAAAACAAAACAGTGAATAACTGATAACCTTCTAACCATTTAAGTTACAAATGTTCTGGTTCTTAATTTCTTCGTTACCGAGGCGTGGAACAGACGGGCTACAGATAGGATGAAGAATATTATTTATTTGATGAACACAGAATACATCCTTCCTCTAATCGAATCACGTCCCAACTGACGTGAGCCCTCTTTTATACCCCCCCCCCCAAAGTCACAATAGCCTGACCCCCGAACTAACATCCTGATCCGTTTCATATAGAAAACAGATACAAATATATAGAAAACAAATACAAATAAGTGTAAAATATCCTGTCTTCCCCTGCTACTAGAATATACATCCACGTTTCAAGCAAAAATCAGTAAAACATATCAGCCTTACAATAGATACTAAGGCAAAGAATCCTTGTGCCTATCTCCCACAACAGGTAACTATATGGACAGGTATGATACAGAACCTTAGTAAATGTAACAAGTGTGGACCAGGGGAGAAAAAAAAAGAACTAAAACAAATATGTAGAAAAACAAAAACAAATAAAATTGTGTAAAATATTCTGTCACAACCTCTTGGCAGACTACCTAAAATAATCTGTTTAGGCTGCTCCCCCCACAGAGACTGAGCTCTTAACACTTCCTGTTAGTCCTCCACCGCTCCCGGTCTCTGGAAGTGACCCAGGATCAGGACTGCTTCACAGTAAGAGCAGAAGAGTGTCTTTTCCTCTGAAGCCACGTGGTCACCTTCCATCAGCCTCCCATAAATGGACAGCATGTCCTTCCTGGGCCTCCGTAGGACTGTCCGGCCCTCGTGAAGGCTCCTCTGACCCTCATGGAACCGGTCAGACCTAGAATCACACACAAGACAACAATGAGGGGACAATGACACACACGTCTGCATCACATAAGCCCTGATGTACTGCCAGCACATAAGTCCCATCAACATGGAGGAAGCCATTAAAGAAAAAGAAATGGAGGCAGATTAGCAGCTGACCTGGTCAGCAACTCCTGTAGAGGTCAGCAGCTGCTGCAGCAGGTTGAGGAGAGTCTTCAAACCCTGACCAGACCGGATCCTGTTTCTGATGGAGGTCAGTGTGGGGGCTGGGCCCATTTCAGCTCACACTACAACAGGACATTCAGCCTCATCTTTCTCTCTTCCTCTCCCTATAGGCCTGACCCTGAAGAAATAATGGATATGGTGTAGTTAGATTAGTTTACAATGACTGTCACAAAACTCAAACGGAGGCTAGATATCACACAGTGTCATTATATTCCTTACAAAAGCTGTGATTTCCCCTAAAATGACTCCTATGAAATAGTCCTCATATGATGATGTTTATTTCAGACATACCTGGAAACAGGACAGCTTGGGGTTTCTGTAGTTTGTTACTGTGGGACAGAGTGGGCTAATGTTTCCATTCACTTCAATTCATTATGCTAAGCTAACACAATTGTAACACTGTTTTGTGTTGATATGTGAAAAGGACGTGTGTCCCAAACTTTTCATTTATTTCACAGAGGATTATTAATGCTAGGGGTTAAAAATAGTTTAATGTACTGTGTTTTCATTGTTGACAAATAAATATTTGGTTCTTGAAAAAATATAAGGAGAGTGAATATATATGAGCTTCTATCGATTCTGAAATATTGGTAATAATGTTCTGCATAACCTTAGGTTAGGCCGTTGTGCTTTATGCCGCATAAAGCACAACGGCCGAGCTTTTTCCCTCCCTGTGTCTCCTAGTGCTGCTCTTGGTGGGAACTGTTGTTATTCTGTAAATAACTCTGAGCTGCTCTGTTTGGAAAGCTTAGAGATAACTGTTGTTGTTGTGATGTGGCGCTATATAAATAAAATTTAATTGAATTTAAATCTGTCTCTTTTTGCAAAGACTCAGGTTCTGGGCAATCCTACACAAGTCCCCATTCCAGAGCCAAACAAAATTCGTCACCAGCAGAGATCACTTGCCAGAGTTACTTGAAATGGTGGTAAATACAGAAAGTAAGTGTTTATTGAGTCAAAGTGACAAAACGAACAGCTGACAGTTACACACTCCCGGTTTGATTTCCATGCACCACCAAATATCAAAATAAAACATCTCAGATGTGGATAAAAAAAGAAAATAAATGCATTTAAATTGGGCCATGAAGTAAGAAACTCAAAATAATGAAACCATCTCCAAACTTTTCTGCTTTATGAGAAATCTGTGGAAGACAAGTTAGTGGTTAAGTGGATAATCTGGGCTGGGATATTTTGTGCATTTCTGCCTTTACAGTCTCTGATTGGACCTTATTCGTGTTGGCCATGTTGTTGTTGTTGTTTTAAAGATTGGAAGCTTTAAATGCAAAATTCAAAGACAGCAGCATGTTGTTGAGGTTTCAGCCTCAGAGTGGACTTTCCAGCAGTTTCTGAGCAACTTTCTCAGCTGATTGGAAGCCTTTTAGCACATTTCCTCAGCCTGGGGCTCAGCCAGTACGAGATAGAGCTGCAGCAGTTCACAGCTTGATGAACTTTTTGTGGCCACATTTTATGTTGTGCAAATGTCCCTGAGTGGACCCCCACCAGCCTCCATTGTCAGGGTTTGGGCCCCTCACCACAGCTTCAGCTCTCTGGAAAGGCAGGGGTCAACCTCCCTAAGAGCCTCTATCAGAGTTTGGCTGCTTTCATGTCCCTTCCTCATCACAGTATCAATCACATCTGGAGCTTTCTCTGCTCTGGGCTTCGTCTTTGCTGTCTGCATCTCCTCATTAATCATAGCACCGTGCTGAAGGAGTTTATCCAGCAGCTGGTTCAGCACAGAATCAGAGACTCCATTATTGAACTGCACCCGGACAGCAGACAGTCTGTCCTTTGCTTGGAGTCCTGGGAAATCCCTCTATGAAGATTCCCGTCTGGGACCTTAAAGAAAAGCAGAGAAATGAAGATCAAAATCTTAAGTCAAACAGCTATTGGCTGATGGTTTAAACGTGATATCAGGCTGACATGTTTTAGGCCTAAAGACTCTGATCTGACTCTGGGTGGATTAGAGGAGTGACACCAGACAGTCTGACCCCGAATGGCTTTTCTCCTCAAACACTGTTCAAACATGCAAACACAAGAGTTTGAGCTTTTGATTCTTTGTGTAATTCCAGAGGTTTTAAGACTAAATCATAGGTAAAGAATGCTGGAGTTTGATTGGACGCAGACCTGAACTTCACCAGTTTCATCAAAGCTGAAGCTAAGACAGCTCTTTCCCTCTTCAAACTGCCCCGATTAGAGCTTTAGCCTGTTTGTGATCCTTTCCTCTGCCCTCCACAATCAGAGTCCAGTCCCCACCCATCCTCCTTCCAACAGGTTGGATTTTTTCCCCATAAAGCCTCCACAGTGTGCCATCTAATGACCCAGAGCAGTACAGACTCCCCCTGTTAACACTGGCTGTGGACAGGCACTCACAGCTTTTGTCTCTGGAGGATTTCTTCGTCCAGCTATAAAACCTGTGGAGCAAACACAAGCAAACAGAGAGAGAGAGAGAGAGAGAGAGAGAGAGAGAGAGGCTGCAGTCAGTCACTGTCCCATAATTCCTTCAGGAATAACCAGTTTATTTTAAGAGACACATCAAAGTTAAATAGCCAGTGAAGAAGAGTAAAAAACATTCTGTTTAATATTCTGACAGGAAACAACCCAAAATAAAACATTTAAGTCTCTTTGTGTAATAAAAAAGCTATCTCAGTCATCCATTAGAGCTCAGCATGAGCACCAGGGGGCGCCAAGAGCAATTACATGCAGAGTGGGTCATTTCTGTCCTCATTTCTTTGCATATTTGAGTGATAATTCCTATCATCAAAGGCAAAACACCTTAATGCAAACTTAAATCTGCAGTCTGTTTTTCTATTTTCATTAACAATATAACAGACAAATAGCCTAATGTTCCAATGTAGTTTCCCAGAGACACATCAGAAGGTCAAACCAGTTTCCTGTTTGAGCTCTGGGGACTCTGGAAGTAAAAAACCCTGTTGCCACGAGGCTGTTTATGCACACACAAAATAACCAGAGAGGCCTTTTTATCTCTGCATAATTAAGATTTCTGCTCCCTGCAGGCCTGCAGAACACAGAGGGTGTTCAACCTGCAGTCAGAGGCAGGAAAAGACAGCCCAGCTCCCCCTCTGCTGACCTCACAGTCTCCAGTCCATACTCAGGGCTGTCCACCAGAGCACACAGACTCTCCTCAGCTGGTTTTCCCAGGTAGTTTCCATCCAGGTCCAGTTCCACTAGCTGGGAGGGGTTTGACTTCAGGGCTGAGACCAGAGACCAGCAGCTGATCCCAGACAAGTTGCACAACCGCAGTCTGAGGAGAGCAAAGGACAATCTGGGTCCAATCACATTCAGAGTAAAGCCTGTAAAGACAGATGTTGCACACAGATGTGACTGTGGGTCCAATCACATTCAGCTGGTCTCTGACAACCAGCAGAGCTCCAATCTGAATAAAGAACAGAAGCTGCTATCTGAAGACTTTACCATGAAGAGCAGCACAGATTTGAGCTCATGATCTGAACTAACCACTAAAACCTGGAGTCTGACCTCAGAGTCTTCAGTCCACAGAGTGGACTCTGCAGAAAGCTGCTCAGCTCCTTCATCACACACTCAGAGATGGGGTTCAGGCTCAGGTCCAGTCCTGTCAGATGGGAGGGGTTGGACTTCAGAGCTGAGACCACAGAAGAACAGCTGGTCTCTGACAACCTGCAGTTCACCAACCTGAATAAAGAATAAAAGAAGTGAACTGAAACCAACAGGATGCATGTTACAACAGTCAAACAGAACCAGAGAAAAATAACTCTCATTCACATTAATGACAACATGCTGCTGCTTCATAAAGACACAATGACTTCAGCTCTAAACTCTGCCAGCTCCACCAGTGGCTCCATCCACACAAACACATGCTAACCAGAATAATAATTATGGGGGGCACTGCCAGCGTTTATAAAGTTAATTTTCAAAATCACAAGTGTTTATTCTCCTTTTAAAGTGTAGATGACACTCCAGGAAGTGCAAGTGACCTGAAACGAGATGAGGGTTACTTATCAAAATAACAGAAAATGACGAGACCACACGGAGACAGGACAAAAAAACCCCAGCTAAATAACACCGATGTGACAAGTTAATTCAAAAAGAAAACTTTGATTGCCCCACTGCTTTTCACAGAAGTAAGAGACTTGCCTGATGTCCTTTCCTGCGTCAAGAAAATCTGACAACTCCAAAATGAACCCCTGAGTGACATTCTGGTGCTCACTCCACACCAGCTGGTGACTGTAATGCATCACTTTAGTGGTAAACTATTAATAAAATTATTCAATCAACAACCAACAACAAAGGGAACACAAAAAAGGTAGACCATGCTGGTTTGTTGACCAGTGGTGACGTCACCGGCCAAAATTATGATTGTTAATACCTCAGAAATAAAAGCAACACAGACAGCGTTTTTTACAACACAAATCATTTGATCTATTTGCAGGAATGTTTTAAGTGTGTGGGGTGTCAGCTTCCCTCAGCTCTCCCACAGGCGTGAGTCCAGAGGCATGTGCGCGTGTGCACGTGAGTCGATTGACGAAATGACGTTAAAAGTCATACAAAACATTAATCACCAGTAGCCCTTAGTCCTCATCAGTGATGAGTCCCCAGACGCCATCGCCAAAATAAAAGTCACACAATGCTTTGCTAGCTCTCAGTAGTCCTCCAATCACGGGGACTTTCAATGCGCGCAAAGTGCACACAAGAGCTCCCACTCCCGTGAGTGGACTGTTGTCATGAGTGCAGAGGCATGGGCACTAAAAGTCAGACAGAAACAACAGAGCTGTCTATCCTACAAAACATTACAAAGGACACACATAAAGCCCCCCAGCTCCACTCAAATCCCTCTCTGACTTAGCCCTGTTGACCAGCAGACATCAGAGGAGCTTACTGCATGTAAGAAGGGGACAGAGGGGGGGGGCAAAACTCCTAAATGGCTTGTGCACAAGTCAGCTGCCAGACAGATCTCCTCAACCTGTTCCATGAATAAAGGGAATCACTCTGTTAACCCTAAAGCAACGACTCAATAACACATGAGAGCAGTCTGGTGGTGGAGAGGAGGAACATGAATAATGAGCTCTGTAGGAGCTGTAAGTCAAACATTTTTATTAAATGTTGATTCTTGTAAATAAATGTTTACCTAAAAAACTCATGAAAATCATATTTAAACAAAAATTCTCAGTAGGAATCTTTAAAATGCTTCTGTTAACCATTTAATGTTATCACAGCTTTCAGCTCATCCTCTGATCTGAACTAACCACTAAAACCTGGAGTCTGACCTCAGAGTCTTCAGTCCACAGAGTGGACTCTGCAGAAAGCTGCTCAGCTCCTTCATCACACACTCAGAGATGGGGTTCCAGCTCAGGTCCAGTTCTGTCAGATGGGAGGGGTTGGACTTCAGAGCTGAGACCACAGAAGACCAGCTGCTCTCTGACAACCTGCAGCCTTCCAGTCTAAGAAAGAACATAACATGTAGATTCATTTGAATCAAACTACAGCAGAACCTCCACTTATGAAGCCTCAACATACGGATTTTCCAACGTATGAAGTAAAATTTGATCAAATATTTGACTCCACACCCAAAGTAAATTTTTTACATATGGCGTCATAGAAAAAATAATAGAATCTGAAAATTAAATCAAAATAAATAAGTTAAGTTAGTTTAAAGTTCTTGTAGTGAAAGTCAGAGTAACACAGAATAGAATTCTCTTTGTCCTGCCTGCATTCATTTGTGATTTTTTTTCTGGGTTTATTGTTTCTCTCTGTTTTATGTACCCAGTTTGTATCTTGTTAAGTTTGTTTTCTCCTTGTTGTTTGAAGTTATTCTCTGTTTCCCTGTCCATATCAGACTGGTCTTAGTTGTGTTTTATAGTTCCTCTCATGGTTTGACTTCCTCATTTTTGGCCAGTTATGTTAGTTTCTTGTTCCTCTCTCTTAATCCGGGTTTTGCCCAGTTCCCCTCTTCTGGTTATTAGCTCTGTGAGTCTTTATCATCAGGAAACCAGAAAAGCTGACAGAACTAACCTCAGAGTTTCCAGTCTGCAGTTTGGACTTTTCAGTCCTGCAGAAACATGTTTCACTCCTGAATCCATCAGCATGTTGTTACTCAGGTCCAGTTCTTTCAGATGGGAGGGGCTGGACTTTAAAGCAGAGGCCACAGCTTCACAGACTCTCTCTGACAGTTCACAGTCTGCAAGTCTGTGATAGAAAACATGGAAAGGAAGCCAGAATCACATCAGCTGATCCAAACTGGAAACACAAAGTCAGCACAAACTGTAACTGAACATCTGGATGGAAAGAATTGGATGTGAAATGAATGTGATCCGATCAACATTGTTCTTCATCTGAGGCTCATCTCATCTCACTTTGATGTGACACAGTTATTCTCCTCAGCCTCTCAGACCTGAGCACTTTAAATGGTTTTAGTCATTATTTGAAGTCCTTTAGCAGATAAACAGAGAAACATGCTGTTCCAATCAGACTGAAGAAATCTCCAGTCTGTCAGTCTGATCTGATCACATGTCAAAATGAAAATGTCTGCTTCAGAAAACGCCTTTGTTTGTTGGTTTTTAACTAAAAGTCTGTTTACAGTTGGAGAGATAATTTCTTTAAAAAACAGCATTGTGAATTGTGACTGTTCACACACTAACATAAGAAATCCTCTCAGTTTCTCAGGCCTCCATTAATTTCTGATCCAATATTAACTAAAGTGACTCATTGGCAGCGTGTAAGGATCCAGAGTTTTTAGAGTCTTTGATTTTTTTTATGTTGAGATCACTGATTTTCACTAAAGGCTTT